GCTTCCTCCCCCCAGTAGCACCCATGGTGCTTCTGGAAACTAAGGCTTCTCGGAACATGATGAGATATCAACTACTTGCAGCCAGGCGGCCCTTGACCACTGGGAATTAGAGCAGCTCACATGCCTTCGAGGTCACCTTTCCTCAAAAGAGATTTTGAAGATTACACACTTATTTTGTACTTGGTGCTTTTGGCTCTCTGCCCAGAGAATTGAAGAAAACAACCCTGGAAAGGTAACCATCTGAGTTCGTGGTGATGGTGTCTACCAGAGAGGGGCTGTTGAGTAGAACCAGTGACGCGGGAGAAGACCCCAGGGTTCTGACTGCATTCAGGCCTCGCGAGACCTTTGCTCTTAAAGGCTCCTTTTGTTTCCGTTTGTGGAACATGTAGTTTGCTGAGCAGTCTTCCCGGAACTGCAGCTCGGAGTCTGACTCTCTCCTGTCGGTCCCTCAGGTAGTCCATCCACCAACCGCCTCATCCTTCCCTTTCTCAAAGTGTCCCAGGCTTCCCTGTCTTCGCCAGTATCCACTCCCTGTTTAGGACCCTCCCTGCTTGTTTCTATTTATTTAAATCTCACCCATCCTTCACCAGAAGTCCCATTACATCTAAAATGCTTCTCAAACATCCAGCCCTTTTATTTTTTTTTATTTTTATTTTTTTTACAAATAGTATTGTCAAATTAGTTTCCACATAACACCCAGTGCTCATCCCCACAAGTGCCCTCCTCCATGCCCATCCCCCCACCCCCCCACATCCATCAGTCCTCAGTTTTTGTCAGCATTCAAGAGTCTCTCATGGTTTGCCTCTCTCCCTTTCCCCCACCATTTCCCCCCTTCTTCTCCCCCTTGGTCCTCCGTCAAGTTCCTTCTAATCCTCCTATACGTGCAAACATATGATATCTGTCCTTCTCTGCCTGACTTATTTCGCTCAGCAGAACACCCTCAAGGTCCATCCATGTTGCTACACATGGCCAGATTTCATTGTTTCTCATTGCCATGTAGTATTCCATGGTATAGATAAACCACATCTTCTTGATCCATTCGTCCGTTGATGGACACTTAGGCTCTTTCCATGTTTTGGCTATTGTGGAGAGTGCTGCTATGAACATTGGGGTACATGTGCTCCTATGCCTCAGCATTTCTGTATCCATTGGGTAAATTCCTAGCAGTGCTATTGCTGGGTCATAGGGGAGCTCTATTAGTTTCCTGAGGAACCTCCACACTGTTTTCCAGAGGGACATCCAGCCCTTTTAGTAATTTCTTCCTTCCCTGAACTTCTGCAATGTTACTATGTTCAGGACTCACGTGGCATTTATAGCAACTGAACTTGTGGTGTGAGGTTTTTGTTGTTTTTTTAAAATGTTCATTTATTTGTGAGAGAGAGCATGTACACATTAGCAGGGGAGGGGCAGAGAGAGTGGGGGAGACACAGGATCTGAAGTAGGCTCCAGGCTCTGAGCTGTTAGCGCAGAGTCTGGCGCAGGCTTGAACTCTCGGACCAGGAGATCATGACCTAAGCCAAAGTCAGATGTTTAACCTACTGAGCCACCCAGGTGCCCTTGTTTTCTTTAGTTTTGATAGATTTTTTTTTTTTTTTTGGCCAGGCTGTAAGCACCTTAAGGATAAGTACCAGATCTTCATTTTCAGCATCTCTAGTGTCTAGAGGTAGGGAGGAGAGAAACAGGCCCTTTACAAAGCCCCTTCAAATGTCTCTTGATCCTCACGTTTGTGAGAAGGACAGTATGTGTATCGTCTCCACTTCAAAGACGGAATGTCAGTCTGTGTAACCTAAGGGATTCTTTCAAGGTGACGAGGCCAGCAATGGTAGGACAGCTTGGTCCTCAGGCTTTCTAAGTCCTGTGCTCCTTCTGCTGCACAAAGATAGTATGAAGCAAATGCCATGTATATAGGCCCCATAATGTCACAGGAGCTCAGAGGTAGATGATCTTGTACATTTGAGTAGTTCATGAAGGGCCCCTGGCGAAGGTAGAAATCGAGCTGCCTCTTGAACGGTAGGTTGGACATAGAGAAGATGGCAAATGACTAACAGAAGAGTTGAGACCGTGAGCAATGTGCCTGGCCTGTGAGGACACAGTAAGAAAGCTCCTGGGAAGCACTGGGAAGCGCAGCGAGGGAGGCAGCATGGAGCAGGGCTCTGGATGGCCTTTGTGGGAGCTGAGTCGTCTCCAGCCAGACCAGAGGTGGGGGGCGGGTCATTAGGAGAATAAGGGTCCTCTTGCAAGAGGACTCCTCAGCCAAGGAAGTAGTGCTGCCTTGAAGCAAGTGAGGAACGCCATTACCGGACAGAACCGGGGGCTGCCTCTGAGGACAAGGTGAGGAAAGTGGGGAGTGGGGATACCGTGAGCCCTCTGAATTTTCCCCCGTATCTTCATTCCAGTGCTACTCCATCAGTGCTCTGCCTTCCAGCTGGGAAACCTGGCAGGCCTGTAAGCTCAGCTACTGTTATTTAACGGCGTGAGGACTCAGAATCCTAAGTTGGGTCTCCAGCCCTCTTGGCCTTGATCTCTGAAGGATGACATTCAGCCTGGTTCTAGAAGTCTCTAGATTTCAGCCTATGGCTTGAATTGAGACTTTGAGGTTTTGAGCTTGTTACTCTCTTTTCTAAATTATTCACTGCCACTGATAGTGGCCACCATCGGCGGCCTTGGGTTTCTTACCCATAATGTTTTAGGATGGCAGCAAGGCAGTCTCCCAGAGCTGGGCCTTCTGGGGCATGCCATTCCAGGGAACTTCTGGAGAACCTATTCGCGGCATGCCACGGGCTGCTAGGTTCCCATCTCAGAATATCAGCAGGACTTCCACTACTTTCTACCATCCCTATGGCAGATAGTCCTCATTTCCCTACTCCTCTGTGATTTGCAGCGTGCTCTCCTGGCACCAAGTTCCCTACCAGTTAGGAATTTTTCAGTGGCAGGTAATGAAAATGGAATCTGTTCTAAGGGAAAAAGAGAACGAACGTCGGGGGCTCATAGAACTGTGGGAAGTTGGAGGATTAGGTTTGGAAAATGGATCGGGACTAAAGCCCAAATCTGCCGAGCCAACCATCTGATGGTTTTGAGGCATCGCTGGGCGCTGCTCTATACACTTTGCTGTGCTCATTCATTCCATATTCAACAGCTCCTGAGTGCTAGCTGGGTGAAGGTATCTGGTGGGCCTGGGTTGGGGCCCCACACCATGGTGGGGACAGGAGAGAGGATATCGGCCTCTCTAGGTTAGTGGGCAGTAAGGCACTCCAACACAGTGGTGGGCCCCCAAACTTGGAGAAGGAGTTACATCCCAGGTAGCTAAACAGTAAAAGTGGAATGGGTGGGTTTACAGACAGGCTCCGAGGGGAGAAGAGCATGAACCAGACTTTCACATGCATAAAGTGTTGTACATTCATAAATTCTAGGAAAACAGTCACACATCGAATTCCTGATACAGCCCAGGCAGCGTGATGTGTTGAATCCAGCTGTGGGAAAACAAGGAAACAAGATTCTCTGTAACATTCTTGATATTCTGAGGCCAAGATGTGGCAGTCTCAGCTAATAGTAAAAGTTCGTTCCTTGGTGAAGAAAATGGATTGGGCGGTTAGAAACATGGAGAGATCTTTAAATGTCCCATTTTGGCCCCTGTCCTCTTACTTCCTAATGTCTAGAAGAAGATTTAAAAAGAAGAGAGTAAGGGTCTTATTTATTGATCAAGGAAAAGCAAGACAAACTAAAAAAGATGAAGGGCAATCCGTTTTCTTCAGTGGCAAATGTTGTGGAAGACAGGAAATGAGAGAGGAGAAAACAATGTGAATGATGCAGATTTGCAGCCAACTGGCAGATGTCATCTGGACTAAAGGCTTACCATTTGTATCACTTTCAAATCCTTTTGAGTCCTATATACTTTTTCCACTAATCTATATATATTTAAAGTTTGATTCTTCTTAGTACCTTAGTGTTATTTTGTTAATTCTCGCATCTGACATTTATTGGCATTTACTGAGTGCCAAAGATTGAAAGGCAAATTGCATTTCTCCGGTGGCTGTGGGAGGTGTTGTGGTAGATAGTCTCCAAAGATGGCTTCCATCGATTCCTTTAGTTGTCCACCCTCCCCAACCCCTTGGGTCTGGCTGCCCCGTGGCATGCTTTGGCCAATAAAATGCACCAGAAGTGACACATGGCAATCCCTACCCTACCTTGCCTTTAAGGGGTCTGACAGTTTCTTCTTTCAGTCACCATGTAAACGTCTGACCACCCCATGGCCACCATGCTGCGAGGAAGCCCTAGCCAGCTCAGAGGAGTGCTGGGGCACCCGGTGAGCCAGTGAAGCCTTCTTAGACCTTCCAGCCCCACCCAGCCACAACAAATGCAGCCCAGCGATACCACATAAGCACTGGCTGAGCCCAGTTGGCTCCCACAGATAACAAATGGTGGTAGTTGAAAGCTGCTGTTTTGCATGGTCTGTTTTGCAGCAACAGATGAGTGGAGCAAGTAGCATCATACCAGGTCAATTGGCAGGACCCTTCCCAGGTGGAAGGAATCTTGAGGCTTTCGGGTAGCATAGGGGAAAGTGGTGATTCTGGAGAACTCCGGGGTGCAGCCTACTGGTAGGGGGGAGGTGGGAGGGATTAGGAAGGAGCCCTGATGCAAGAGAAGAGGCATGCCTCAGACCCTGACCATGTACTACTTACTTGCCTGCAGAACTCACACCTGCTCTCTGTAGGTTGTCACTACCCTCCGGGCACTCCTGCTCACTTCCAGGTCCCCCGTGCACTCCCAAACCCGACCCTCTAGCTATCGGTCAAGTTCTATTTATGTGTAAAATGGGGATAGAACTCTGAGGCAGTGCTTGGCACTGTCAAGGCAGGGTGGGGAGACTGGATGCAGAAAGATAAGAGGCTGAGTGTCCCCAAACATCACGTCCTTTAGAGCTGTGCCTGAGAGCAGGCTACCCTGTGTCAGAAAATTTTGCCATACTTCAGTTCAGAACATTTTAATTTATTTATCCAGCATCTGTTAATCACCTTCAGGGCACTGCATCCATCCCTGAAAATTCAAAGATGAAAACAGTTCTTAATTTCAAAATGTTCATCACTGCTCATTGGGTCAATTCTGGGGCTGTGGTATGTTTTGGCATCGTAAAGGTTACTTGAACATGTCCTTAGGAGGACCACACCACCTAGTAAGAGAATCATTTTATCTCTTCACTTAAATAAATAAAGCACTTGATATATTTATTCATCCTCACCCCACTGGGCCTCAGTCCTTCCAGACCTCAGCTCCATCCGACCCCACTTGCTTCTGGGTCTAGATCTACTTTTCTAGATCTATTTTTTTGTCATGTAATTTCCCCAGCTTGAACTTGGTTGGTATCTGATGGACCACAGACTTTTTCTGTGATGGATCTGAGCCAGGTGATTCTATAGCTTAGAAGTGGGCCCTCAGAGGTCATCATATTAGTTTCCTATAGATGAGAGTGCAGTGGAACCACAGACCCATGAAGTAGCCGTGTGACTTAACCCTTGAACACCCACAGAAACCTTTCAAAATTCTGGTTCTACTGAACCTATGCCCGTTTGTGTGCAAGTCGTGTCTTCTGTCAAATTGGTTTCCAAAACAACATGGGCCAAGCTCTTAAAACTTCTTATAAAGAACAAAACAGATCCAGTGAATGGTAAACTCTAGAAATGTAGGGCTGAAGAGAGAAGCAAAAAGTTGAAACAGGCAGGCAGGTTCAGGATAATCAAGTGTGAAGGCCAACAGCAACGAGCATGGTTCAGCTCGTGTGTGACGATGAGTTTCCTCTCGTTCAAAAGGAGAATCTCAGCGAGTGGATCTAAAATCCCGACACTGGCCATTTGAAATTCCTTCGCTTCCTTCACTTTTGATGAGTCCATCTAAAGTGGGGGTGGGAAGAAGTTGGTAAGGAATGGGCACTTTGAGAGCTCCTGGCGGCACACGGTGGCTACTAATCCGTGGCCTGAATCCCGGATGCTGGCGATGGCTGCCTGGCTGCCCTGCTGTGTGTGAGGTGGCTGATGTTCCATTTATAGTGGGGACGGCTCCACCCCTACGCCACTGCCCTTCCTAAACTTCATTCAAGCTAGCATCAGAGGAGCCATGTGACCTTGGGCAAGTCAACTTCTATAGGCCTCAGTTTTCTCATCGATAAAATGAGGTGACATTGGGGCCCATGATTTTATAAATACATATTCTAAAGGAGAGAAAGAGACCAATGCAGGGGAAGAGACAGTGTGTGCGCCAGGCACACCTGGGCCACGACCTGTTGCTTCTCTCACGGAAATCTTAGGGATTTTCCAGAACTGAGATCAGCTCCAGCTCTAGGCAAGATTTTTTCCCCCGTACTTTTAGAAAGAAAGGCCAAGCTCTACCATTTGGCGCTCTGTATTCCCCCACTTTCTTCTCTTTTTTTTCCCTCTTTGTGGTACATTTCTCCTCCATGATTCTTTCAGTGCACTATTTTTTGTATTGAAAATAGACATTTTGTTTATACAAGGCACAGTTTCAAAATAACATATAAAATATGTAGATATAATAGACAAGGAGTATAAATAGAAATATGTATATCTGGAAAATGGCACAGAGTTCAGTTCCTTCTTTCTGAATCCTTAAATTAAGAGGATTCATTGGGCACAGTACCTCTTTGGTCCTTTTCAGTGCACACAGAGCACCTAACCTGAGAGACAGTGGTTTGGAGCTACAATAACATTGTCATCCTCTCAGACATCTCTTAACCCAGGAGAAGCGTCATAATTCTCTTCCAGCCACAGGTGTATTTATTTCGTTGTGAACTGCAAGTCAGGCTGATGAGTTCTCCTGAAAAAATGTCATAATGAAAGAAAAGGAAAGCCGAGGTGTTCAGCCACTCCCAGGAAAGCTTCAAGTACCAGGACTTTGGGAAGTCAGCCCTGGGCCTCAAACAGGGCATCCTGAGATTGGAGAGCCTACAAATACCGGACGTGTCTTGGCTGGCCACTGTCGATAAAATGATGCCAACATGTTTGTTTTATCATCCTGATGGGCTCTTTGCTGGCACCCAGCACCTGAGTCTTTCCTCAGTCCTTTTCGGCTAGGGCAGGGGTGGTGCCCTTGTTTCAGCCTCGGCCGCTGCATCCTCCTCTCTGCCGTTGGTTCCCCCCGTCATTGGCATCTCTTCCATGTTCTCCATTTCAACACCGGGTGTCTGTGAAGTTTGCCTGTAAAGCAGGTAATTCACAGGTTTTGAAAAGAGGAGAAGGTTGCCTGCAAATCGAGTCAACAGATAGTTCCTATTGAACACTCAGATGGAGGAGGCCTAGACTGCTTCCATTCACAGATGGAATTTAAGCCTTACTTTGGTATTTTAACCCCCTCATCCACTAAAGATTCACCATGCTGTTGGAGCAACTCACCCCCTCTTTTCCCGCTGCTAAAAAAGCAGGAGTCCCAATGGCAGAACAAAATGGAGAGTCCAGGGAGCCCGGCAAAGCCAGACAAGATCATCTTGAAAAAAATGATGTGATAATTTATAAAGTTTTTAAAAACAGTTCTTGGCACTTTGTATGTGTTAAAGAAACAAATACATTAATCAGTTCCTGAGTAAGCCAGAGTACAGGGAGGCAGAGTCTTGATGACACATGTTTCCCTGTCATTGAACAACTCATTTTTTTAAGGCCCTGAGTTTCTAGGTCAGCAATTTTCATCCATGGATTGTATCATCTACCTCTTGAGGACAGGCAACTCTTTAGGGCATTTCAAAGTAAACTCTTTGAATCCAAACAAAACAAAAACACAAATTTGAAGAGATATTTCCACCCTGAGTTCACTGCAGCATTGCTTACAATAGCCAAGATACAGAAGCAACCTAAGTGTCCGTTGACTGATGAATGGATAAAGAAGTGCTCTGTATATACAATGGAATATTACTCAGCCATACAAATAATGACATCCTGCCATTTGCAACAACTTGGATGGACCTAGAGGGCATTACGCTAAGTAAAATAAGTCAGACAGAGAAAGACAAAAACCGTATGATTTCACTTATATGTGGGATCTAAAAGACAAAAACGAACAAACAAAACAAACACACTTGTGGATACAGAGAACAAACTGGTGGTTGCTAGAGGTAGGGGATAGTGGTTGGCAGATGAAATAGGTGAAGGGGATTAAGAGGGACAGACTTCCAGTTACAGATTAAATAAATCATCGTGATGTCATGTATAGCACGAGGAAGGTAGTCAGTAATATTGTAGGAACTTTGTATGGTGTCAGGTAGTAACTAGACTTAGCATGGAGATTGTTTCGTAATACATAAAAATATTGAATCACTATCATGTACACCTGAAACTAATTGGATATTGCATGTCAATCATACTTCAATAAAAAAACAATACAGTACATAAGCACTTTGAGTTCCTTGGAGTGAGAGCTAGACTATGGACCAAGACTCTAGGCCAATGTACTCAAAATAATCTGCTAAAAGCCAATTTGTTGAGTGATATCTACCTAATAACCCACTTGCAAAAAATAAGTTTATGGCAACGAATTGATTCACCAAATGACCAACTAGTTATTAGGCTTTTCAGGTTTACCAATTCTTCTTAAAGATGTATTTATGAATATTTCTTCACCATAGTCAGTGAATATTGATATTTTCATCTTATAAGCATGTGGCCATATATACCAAATATACAAATTCTTTTAAGATCCTATTTTTAATGTATTCTTAAAAAAGATTGTGTACATTTTTTAAGTCATTGATCATAGTCCGTTATTATAATCTCTTAAGAATGTATCTCCAAATACAACATCTTGTGTGGAAATTTAGTGATAGTGATATTCTGAAAATCCTTTAAAACTCATTTAAAAAAATTTTTTAATGTTTTATTTATTTCTGAGAGAGAGAGAGAGAGAGAGAGAGACAGTGTGAGCAGGGGAGGGTCAGAGGGAGAGGGAGACACAGAATCTGAAGCAGGCTCCGGGCTCCAAGCTATCAGCACAGAGCCAGATGCGGGGCTTGAACCCACAAACCGTGAGATCATGACCTGAGCCAAAGTTGGTCGCTTAACTGACTGAGCCACCCAGGCGCCCCATGTCATTTTTGATTTTGCCAACATTTAAGCATTTGGGGGATTGTTTTAACAGATTTTTGAGTAACACATCAAATTTAGTTAATTTCTAAATGATCTGTGAGGTTTATGGCACTTCTTTTGGTTCAGGTGGTATTACCAGATATTGAAGACTGATGTGAATATTTAGGTGACTTTTTCATTGTGGCTTTATAGTAGCATTTCATGGAACATTCATTTTGCCAAAGTCAGGCTTGAAGGATGGTATAATCTTTATACTGATATATTTAGCAAAGAATATTTTATGAGTAGTAACTAAAAAATTAGTTTCAGCAAATCTGATTTCCATTGTTTGTTGTGTAATGCTGAGGAAGGATCCAGACAGCCGTAGCAATATGGAATGCTGAAACACTGGTTATTAATTGATAGAAGTGTAAAATTAAGGCTAATGTGCCATTTGAGGCTTTAACGAAAATGGCAAAAGTGCCTAAAGATTAGAAAAATAATAAAAACTTTGGGGCACCTGGGTGGCTCAGTTGGGTGAGCATCCAACTTTGGCTCAGGGCACGATCTCACAGTTCATGGGTTCCAGCCCTGCATGGGGCTCTGTGCTGACAGCTCAGAGCCTGGAGCCTGCTTTGGATTCTGTCTCCCTCCCTCTCTGCCCCTCACTTACTCATGCACGTGTGTGCGCATTCTCTCTCTCTCTCAAAACTGGATAAACATTCAAAAGAGAAAAATAATAACTTAAATTTCAGCAAGTGGCAGAAGGTATACACTACCCATGAAATGGATATATTGCAAGAAAATATACTCAGGAATGTAGTGTAACAACTTCATCCCCATCAGATTGGTTACTTGGCATGCTTTCTTTCAAGAGAGGAAAGAAAACTTTTCTGTTCCTGACTGTGGGCCTGTGAACTGCCTTGGAAAAAATGAAGGGCGTCCCAGGGGTGGCTCCCCTTTGGGGCAGTACAGAAGGGGCGCATGGGAGAGCCTTCCTCAGTGGCCCAGAAAGGGAATGATCCTTCCTTTGTGAGGGCTGACCCGGAGTCTTTACGGCACTGCTCTTTTCTGGGAGGAAGGGCAGAGTCCCATCCAGCATGACTCTCTTGCTCTACTCACCTGGATCGTTTGTGACACACCAGAAGTCCCACACCTACGATGCAGAGCACAGCGACAGGCGTGAAGATGGCCGCTGTAAGAGAGCAGAAGTGAGCTGTCACGCTCAAAGTCCAGGGAGCAGACCCACTTCTACAAATCTGACGATGTACAGTTCACATTGCAGGCAGGGAGGACTGGATGCCTTCCCAGCCAGCTTACTGTTAACATTTCTCAAGGTCCGCAAGGCCCAATGCACTCTACTTCTGGGCCAAAAGTTCATTCTTTTCCCACCGCCACCACCACCACCACCAGTGTGAACTGTATCTGCTCGTGTTGTCCCCTTCCCTGGCTCCCAATCCAGATGAGAGAGACATGGTGACGGGATGAGAGGGGAAAGCAAAGGCCTCAGAGTTCAAAGGCCGGGGTGGGACTCTGTGGCCGAGAAGCCATATCTGCTGTGGAAGCCACAGCCGGAATGTGGACAGGGCGAGGGTCCTATTCAGTTGTCTCGGGGACAACCTCTCCCTTTTCGTCAGCTTCACAGAATCCTGATTTGGAAACCGTGCTGTGTATCTTCCGCTTTCACCCATATTGTCTTTTTATTTGCCTGTATTGTTGTTTTTTATTGGCAACTCTTTATGGCGGAGGAAGATGGTAAGGAGAACCAGGCAGTGTTCTAAGAGAGGTGTTATGGGTAAGAAGAGAATAAGGTAAAGGCTGAAGAGAAGGGAAAGATTCTGTTTTGGGCGAGTTGGAAGGCACGCTCCGGAGTGGTGAGAGACCAGGAGGCCTTGGGCATTTGAGGTTTATTAGACAAGATAGGAACAGCGGGTTCAACTGGAAGCAAGACGGCTTAGCCCGAGGACACAGTGATCCTATTTTTATTTTATTTTATTATTTTATTTTATTTTAATTTTATTTTTTGATCCTGTTTTTTTTAAAAAAGGAAACGCTTTTATTATGAAATACATGCAACAGTGCAGTAACTGGCTAATCATAAAAAGTTAAAGAAACAAGTTCCAAAAATAAAAAAAATAAGTTATATTGATTAAGGCACGGAAAATTCAGGCAAATTATTACAATTAAAAAGGAAGTACAGCAAGTTTTCTAGACTTAAGATCAATATACACAAATCTATTGTGCTATCGATGAGCGAAAAAGAGGATCTGGATTTTTTATTAAAAATAGAATTAAAAAAATAGAATGGTGTCATCTGAACATCCCTTTGGCAAAGCTGTGATACATTTTGTAGAAAATGCATCACAAAACATGAATTAATGCTATGAACAAAAGGTAATTAAATGGAAGCCTGTTTTTAAAACGCGTCAGTAATAAGCTCCTGGCAGTGCTGGCCAATTTGCCTTCATATTGTGAAATCTCCCTGCAAAGAAACACCTCCTTGTCCTCCATGAAAGATGATCACTGAACATCTGGAGAGCCAGTAGTCTGACTGTGGACTACGAGTCACATCTCCTACACTCTTAAGCACTTTGGACCTGCGCCTGCACCACCAGCGCATGACCTTGTGTGCAAGGATAAATCTTCCATGGCTTGGGCTTCAAAATACAGCTCTATTGAAAACCCATGAAGTACAAGGGTTGGAGAAACACCCAGATTCTCCGCTGGGTAGGGGTGTTGGTGGGACAGTTTTTCTCAAGGGCGATCGGCAACATATAACAAAACCTTTAGAGAAGACCCATACCCATTGACTCTCTAATCCGACTTCTAGAATTGATTCCAAGGAAATGGGCAAATATATCCAGGAGTATTCACTGGAGTATTGTTTTATTTTTAATGTTTATTTATTTTTTGAGAGCGAGCAGTGTAAGGGCAGAGAGAGAGGGAGACACAGAACCTGAAGGAGGCTCCAGGCTCTGAGCTATCAGTACAGCTCAGCTCCGGGTGCCCCCGGAGTATTGTTTAAAACAATTTTAAAATTAATCTCAATCTCTTATTAATTGAAGATTAGTTAAATAAACTGTGTTATATCCATACAATGGAACATCATTCAGGTTTTAAAAAATTATGAAATGAATCTATATTTATTAACATGGAAAGATGTCCACAGTATCTTCAGTGAAAAAAGCTGGCTGAGATAAAAATGAACCAAAAAAGGATCGCCAGTAGGCCATGTGTGTGCCCACGTGCACAGGACAGCCTTGAGGACTCTATACCAAAGTATTAAGTAGTGGTGGGATTGTAGGTAATCTTTATTTTCTTTTTTTTTAAGTAGCTTTTTTCCTGATGTTTTGACATGAATGATGCTGTTATCAGAAGAACTAGTAAAGTTGTAAAAATAAAACTACCTGTGCTTAAGGAAATCAAACTAGAATAGAAAAGTCCCAAAGGAAAAAATGGGAACCACGGCCAATCAGTGAGGGATGTTCTGAGTTTTCAGACTTAACATTAATCATCATTATGACTAAGAGCCAGAAATAAATTTCTAAGCAGAGATGGTATACCCTAGGGTAAACTATTTCTTCACACTGACTAATCAGCTTGGCATGCATTTACTGTCCACAGAGGGATTTATTGGAAGAGGCCAGTTGATGTTAACTATGTTTCTACTGTCATAACGCTGCTTCCTGTTTCTTCTGAATGAGAATAGAATCTGCAGACTCCAAGTCCAGTGAGCGGAGGGCTCTCGAGTCAATGATACGACCGAGCAGTTTGAATTCAGTGACAAACTCAGACGCCTGGCTTCTTCCTCAATTATATCCAGGCAAACTGAGTTAAGAAACTGAAACCAAAATCACTAAAATGATAGGTAAACACATCAACTGGCAAGTTCCCCACCTTTGGTATTTCCTAGGGGGTGCATGGATTGGAGAAAAAGGAAGGGAGAGAGAGAGAGAGATTTGGTGAGCTGGAGGACCACAGAGGAGGATTTGGGTCTGGGGGAGGAAGGAGAACAAGTGGCTTATTGCTCTGGAGGCCAAGAAGGGCCAGTAACTCCCGGCCCTCGCTTCAACCTACAGTGCATGCTGGGTCTAAGGTGAAGAAGGTGGCCTTGGCAGCCAGGGGCCACTGTTCAATGTGGATGATGAAAATGTCCTTTGAGAGTATGGGGACTCACCATTCCTTAGTAGTAGCTGCAAACTAGGTTAGCCAAGGGGTGCTATTTGCCATGTGGCCATGACCAGAGTGCTGGTGTGCCTGTGTCTGAGGAAGGCAGTTTTGAAGTAAGAATATCAATTCATTATTCCTGGGCAGTGTTTCTGTGCTGTCTCTTATTAAGTGTTGGGTTCAGAGTAGGAACTCAATAAACACATAATTGATTGGGTTAAACCCTTAAGGGTCCATAAATTGAAGTCCTTCTGACCTTCCATTTGCTTCTCAGTGAGAAATCTGCATTTTATTGCAACTTAGGACCAATGTGGCACAGAGTAGAACTCAATTTATATTGAATAAACAGATGAATAATAGAGAGCTAGCTTGTATTAAAGGCTGAGCATATCAAGTGAACCAAATTTATTTCTGAAAGACAAGAGATTAAACAGTTTGAAAAATTAACTCTCCCTCCCAGCATATTAAAGGGACATGGCCAGTGAACAGTGTCCTAGGTGATATTCTAGCCTTTTCTTTTATAATCAGGAGTCCTCAGGAATACCCTAGCTGACGATCAGAGACCAGATATTAGAATAATTGAATGGAATTATTGATTAAAAAGGCTGCCAAGTGAGACTGTAGATATTTAAGACAATGAAATGATAAGTCACACTTCCTAAGCATTTATTAATAAATGTTCAAGTCCTCAACCTCACTTATTCATTTGCTATTTGTTAGGCATCTTCCATTTACCATATTCTGTTGAACTTAGTCATTTTTAGAAGCTGTGATAATCATTTATATAGCTGTTAAAAAATTGTGATATCAGTAGTTATCAGTGGGCTGATTAAAATATTAATTAACATTTGCTGAGCAACTACTACAGTAAAGCGTTTATATTTCCTTACAAACATGATAGACTGATTGCTTATTCATGCAGAAATAGCAACACTTACTGATGCCCTGGGAGCCAGTGAGCGTCTCTGCTATTTGAACCTGATGGGTATATTCTTGGTCCACAGGTGCTGGGGTATATATGACACAGTCAAAGTCACCATCACTGAGTGTCTTTAGAAAACTAGCATGATTTTCATTTTAGCTTCCACCGTCTTAGCAGGTAAGACTTAACACCCAGTGTAATATAACTTGTTTTTATTTCTTTGCTGACAATTTTTGGATCTGTCTTGTAAGTTAGTTGCTAACACGTTTATGTTTAACCGCCCTTGAAGAAAGAAACATTATTCATATCACAGCAAAGATTTAAAGTGTTGGTTTTTTTTTTTTTAATTCTCTATATATCCACAGTTTCTTGCACGGACCGATCTTTGCCCTATTGCAGGTGTTGAGTTAATGTGTATTACAGGACACTTCAGAATCTGGGAGAGAGTTTCTGATGTTTTAGTCCAGTGAAAGTCACAAACTGGAAAAATGCATCATAAAATGATATCCCATAGTAAAGTAGTTGTTTGAAAATCTACATAGAAAATATGGCTCCCAAATTCTATCTGTAGGATTTTTTTTCCTATGGATTTATTTGCACAGGGCCAAGTGATAAGAGGCTTTCCAACTAATCATTGTTTGTAATGTAGCCAAGAATGTAAACAGTCACATGCCCATAGCGGGTTGGCTACACAAATCGTGGCAGATGTATACAGTGGAATATTCTGAAGCTGTTTTAAAGACTGAGGTGGTTTTTATGTGTTGATATGGAAGGGTTTCCACAAGATCCCATTAGTTGAAAACAAACACAGGTGCAAAACAGTGAACTTAAAATACCTAATTGGCATTATGCATCGATCCTCTATGAGCTACTTTGAGGTCGACTCTCTGAAAAGATGCCAGAAAACTGGTAGCAGGAGTGTTTCCTTCTACAAAGGGGTTTTCAGTCCGAGATGGGGCTTTTTACTGTACATGGTTTTGTAATTTGTCATTTAAAAGCCCCGTGCAAATATTACCAATTCGAAAAAAAAATGAATAAAAAGTTTTAAACTTTGTGGAAAGGTGAACGTAGTATGTGACACAAGGAGAAAAACTCAGCTGGTGACTTTACTTACTGGTCGCCTCTTACGTGCTACACATATTTTAGTGTTGGTGTCTTGCCTTTGCATATAAGCTGCTGGAATGGCCAAAGCCGCTCATTTTTTTTTGTTTGTTTGTTTTTTAAATTTTTCAAGATGACACTTAATGCAGATAAAATATAATCACAAAAATATGGGTCATTCTCTAAGCTGATAACTCGCAAATGCATGGTAGAAATAAGGGGTGCCTGGGTGGCTCAGTCAGTTGGGCGGCCAACTTTGGCTCGGGTCATGATCTCGCAGTTCGTGGGTTCAAGCCCCAGGTCGGGCTCTGTGCTGACAGCTCAGAACCTGGAGCCTGTTTCAGATTCTGTGTCTCCCTCTCTCTCTGACCCTCCCCTGCTCACACTGTCTCTCTCTTAGAAATAAATAAAACGTTAAAAAAAAAAAAAGTAGAAATAGTTGTGTTTTGTCTGTATAAATTGCATTGCTTTTTTTTTTTTTTTGGCTTATTGAAAACTTGTACAGACAAAAGTCTTAGTCTTTCTTACTACTTGCATTTCTCTCAGCCTTCTTTCTCTTGTCTTCTCCCTCCTCTGCTCCCTTCCTCTTTTTCTTTCATACTTGCAAACACCTTTCCACTCTCCTCCTTAATGTTCACCGGGATGGTCTCTTCCTCTCCTAGACTGAGTGTTGTGTGCGTCTTCTGTAAACAGCCGCCTTTTATACTGAGATGCGTGAGACTTGCTGTAAAGGGCATGGGGCTAACACCCCGTGAGAGATTAGTACAGCCGACGGATGAAGAACATCATGTTAATGACAGCTGCACACATGCTTGTGGTTTTCTGCTAAATCTGGGATGAAAGTCTAGCCCGGCCTGGTGGAACTGAGTAGCTGAATGAGGAGGCCCTTTTGTGATGTGTCGGCTCTCTGGCTCCCACATTGGTAGCCTGACAGAGAGAAGCTACCAGTATTGAGATAAACAGTCATGGTAGAATCCCCTAAGTAGGGTGATCCTATCCCTTATTCTCTACACTGAGCCACTTTTGAGAGTGAAAGGGCTGCTGCTAGTGGCCGTGCTGGGGCAGCGGGCCTAAGTCAGGATTGTCGGGACCCTGAGACCGAGGTCCTCAGGGCAGAAGCACTGGTAGGACCAAAAAACCAGAAACCAAAAAACTTACCAGTCACAGTCACGGTTCTGGAACTGTATGAGTATGTATCTGTAGAGAAGAGATTGCAGTTCAGTTATTGCCGTAGTCCTAAAGGCACTCATTTCTCATTAAGCAGGACAAATTCTGGACATTTTGGCTCCCATCTTAAAGCCTGAGAGAGTCATGGCTGGCAAAACCAAATTTTCTTTAGCAAAGAACAAGGGTAGTTTATTAGATGCGGGGCCATGCTTAAGAATCACATGTGCCCTTTTGCACAGCAAAGGAAACAATCAACAAAATAAAAAGGCTAAATTGGAGAAGCTATTTGCAAGCGACATAACTGATGAGGGGTTAATATCCAAAATATATAAAGAACTTATGCAACTTAACATCTCCACCCCAAATAATCCAGTTAAAAATGAGCAGAGGACTTGAAAAGACATTTTTCCAAAGAAGACACACAGATGACCAACAGGCACGTGAAAAGATGCTCAACATCAGTGATCATCAGGGAAATGCAAGTGTAAAACCACAATGAGATAGTACCTTAGACCTGTGAGGATGACTAGAACCAAAAAGAAGACATAACAAGTGTTACGGAGGGTGTGGAGAAAAGGGAATCTTGTGTACTGTTGGAGGGAATGTGAACTGGTGCAGCTGCCGTGGAAGACAGGAGGTTCCTCAAAAAGATTAAAAATAGAGCTACCCTAGGACCCAGTAATTCTACTGGGTATTTACCCAAAGAAAGCACAAATACTAATTTGAAAAGATATATACACTCGTATGTTTATTGCAGCATTATTTACAATAGCTGAGATATGGAAGCAGGCCAAGTGTCCATCAATAGATGAATGGATAAAGAAGAGGTGGTGTACATAATCACAATGGAATGTTACTCAGCCATGGAAAAGAACGAGGTCTTGTCATTTACAAAAACACGGATGGACCTAGACAGTATCGTCCTAAGTGAAATAAATCAAACAGAGAAAAACAAACACCATATGATTTCACTTAGACGTGGAATCCAAAAAACAAAACAAATGAACAAACAGACAAAAGCAGAAACAGGCATAAATACAGAGAACAAACTGATGGTTGCCAGAGGGGAGGAGTGTGGAGGGATAGGCAAGATGGGTGAAGAGGAGCAGGAGATACTGGCTTCCAGTGACGGGCTGTGTAAGTGATGGGGATGAAAGGTGCAGTTTGGGGAATACAGTCAATGGTATTGTAGTAGCGAGGAAAAAGCCCACAAAGGATCAGATATGCTTTTACGGAAGATGCAGATTACCAAGAGCTCTTTCATCCCACTGATTGTGACTCCAGACTGCAGGAAACTTCCACCACCCTCCCACGTTGGGAGAGGGCAGATACCATTCAGATTGGCAAAGCCTCTGCCATGCAGGTCAGTACGCAGAGCCTTATCACATCTGGGTGGTGGACTTTCTTTTCCAGCTGGACGGAGCCAAGAGAGAGCACAGAGGTTAGAGGAGCAAGGAGGCCGTGGCACAGAGCGGGAGGCAGAGGCTTGCTGACTGGTGTGGACTTTGGACTGGACTGTATAATGCTATGCAGCCAGCTCACTCGAGGTCTCCACCCACATCTCAGAAGCACGTGGACTGCTGACCTCTCCTACAGTAGGCAAAGCCAGTGCTAACCTGGCGTCTCCTGCGAGGCAGAGGTAGTGTGTTCCAAGGCTTTTGCTGTTGTCTGAGCTGGGGCTTGGGAGAGTTCATTACTGATTACCCCTGTGGTTCCTGCGGCAGGAGGCTCGGACGGCATCGGCCTGGAGCCTGGCTCAGTAGTTGCCTTTGTGGCCACTGTGCTGTCTGACTTGGAAGTGAAAGCTGGCTCTGTAGGAAAGCGCAAGATATGGAGAACATAAATACTTTGAAGAGTGTCTCTGTGCGGCTCTGGAAGAGACTGGACTTAATACTTGCTCTAGTGAGCCCACCCTGGGCCGGCCCTCCCCCAGCGCCCTCCTCCAGGGCTCTGGGGGCGAAATCCCTTAAGTGGGTAGTTTATTCCTCCATCCGGAATGGCCGAGGGACATTTGAGAACAGGAGAGGATCTACAGCCATTTATCACGGTGCATGTAAACTAAAGATCTGAGGATCTGAGTCGTTCCTGGCTTGTTTACTTGAGAAGGTATGGAAGGTGCCGTGAGAGACCAATCTCAAAAAAAAAAAAAAAAAAAAAAAAAAAGTAACTGTTTTTGCCAAAGATACCTGGGATACTGATTCTAGTTTCTTTTCTGCATGTTTGCACACAACTTTGAAATAAGGGGAAGCCTGAGATTCAGCCTGACTGAATTTTAGTGTATTTGAAGAAAGTGTCCTGGTTTTGCCCTGACCTAAAGGAAGGCAGCCCCCCTGTTCACCCTCCCTGTGGGACCTGGCACATGGCTGCTCCCAAACTGTGAGGCAAGGTGGCAAACTTCACCATTCTCTTTCCCTGAAAAATGGGTCTTCCAGTACACTCTCGTGTCTGAGAGTTTGAAGGCACGGTTTCATCTGACCATGTGTTTGATGCACGAAGGCAAGAGACCCCTTGATTATTCTCATCAATTGGTGATCTAGGTATGGCTTGGGTCAAAGGGGTCTTGGAATTACCCCAAACTTACTTAAATGTAGCCAGTACTCCACTATATCCTTCTGTTTGTAATCAACTAACTAGGAGGAAACCTCCTTGTGGTCAGTCTTCCCTTCAGCACTGGTTCTCAGCCTTGGCTCTCTAAGAATCACCTGGGGGAGCTTCTAGAACCCTAATTCCCAGACTGGTCCCAGACCACCAGGGTTCCGAGGAGATTCCAATGTGCATCCGCAGCTAAGAAGCAATGTGCTAGCTCAGAGCAGCCAACGGCAGCACAGAGACTACGCCTGGGCCTGAAAGGGGGAGACAAGGGCTGGGAAAAGCCACACTGGATGACTGCACATGAAAACTCAAGAGTTAAGTGTCAAGTAAGGCTTTCCCAGGATACAGAGCACATTGTCCCCAGCAGCTAAGATCTCCAATATTCTTAACATCAGGACCGTGCCGAGGAAATTGGGTTAGAAAGAAGTTCACCTAAGACAGACCCGGGAAGTGCAGGATGTTGGCAGCTCCTTACTAGAGCAAGTTGGGATGGTTGGGGGACAGTTCTGCAGGGGTCCCTCCTGTTTCCGCATGCCTTGTCAGCAGAGGCCCTGACAGCCCTTTCTCGGGACTAACTTTTCAAGGATGCTCATGTAGTCTTGGAAGGGGGAGACCGTGTCTCCCTCTGGAGCAAAGGCCAGACACGGTCAGCAGTTATAAAAGACTCCAGTTTCTTGAACTCAGGCCTCCTCTCCTGTGGGGCAGCCTGCTGGATGTACAGGCATCTTCTAGACCCATCCCTGTGGCCCCCGTGCAACACAGGGAGGAGGGAATTGACGCAAACATGCCAGTGCTTCCGCTGACTGCTGAGCCCTGTGAGAGAGTCCTTGGTCTCTGAAGTGGGGAGCACCCTGGAGGTTTTGGAGGGGCTAACACACCAGGCAGGCAAAAACCTCAGATCCTCCCCAATTCTTGATGAGGAAATACGTCTGCAACTAAGTCTGATGTGGGATATGAAGAGTGGATTTGGAACCATTATTAATCACAGTAAAACCTTGGATTGCAAGCAACCTGTTCTGTGAGTGTTCCGCAAGATGAGCAAAGATTTCTAATAAAATGCAACTCGATAAAGGAATGATGTCTTGCGATACGAGTCGTAGGTGATGTTGAACGTCACGTGATCAGAACTGGGCCAATGGTTCTTGAAATTTGCTTTGATATACACATGCTTTGGATTATAAGCACATTTCTGGAATGAGTTATGCTTGCAAACCAAGGTTTTACTGTAAGTCCAATGAAACCTGGATATCAAGCACCTTTGATTTGAAAGAGAAAATGAAGCTACTATAAAATTTAATTTTGACTCGAATAAAAAGTGTGTTCTGCTGGCGGAGTCTGCAGTGGGCCTCCACCAGGGCCCCAAGAATCTGACGGATTTGTGGGGACCTGAATGGTGGCAGACAATGGGAGCCCTTAAAATGTTTCCAATGTCCCTACCTTTTCCAGAAAGGGAGGTGCCCTCTGGCTCTGGGGTCACCCTTGTCGGCACTTCTGTGGAGGATGGCTTTAGATGAGTCAGGGAGGGGTCTCCTAGAGAGAGCATAACCACATGGCATTTATGAGCCTAATGGCAGAGCCTTGCTTCAGAACTGGCTATAAATAAAAAAATAATAATCTAAATTTAAAATGGAGATATCCGGCTTCCTGGGAGAGATCAGAAGCACAAGAAATAGACGACAAGCAATGTCTCCCAGTCTGCCCCTCCCATGCAAATGCAAACAGACCGTCAACTATTTTTCTAGCCTTTCCACAAAACTGCACAGGTATCAAAAGTCTTTTATTGGTGGGTAGAAGGGTATCTGTGAGATCAAGTCAGTTTTATAATATGGTCTTTTACATGGGAAAATACATGACTACTCAGAAGCTTTAGTTGTTTTGTAAGGAAGGAAAAAAAAAAAAAAGCATTGCCAGGACAGGAGGTTAGGAAAAGTAATGGAGGGAGTTGTTAGTGGTAGAGCCTGAGATGTCTATGTGCTAGTGAAGCTTAAGGTCCTCTGGTTGGTAGGTTCTAAAACTATGTAATTCCAGCACCCTTCCTCTGCTCCCTCCACCCCCCACCAGCCGGTTCAGAGCCTATAATTCTTCTCCATCCTGGATTCATTCATCCAAATGAATTGGAACTTCGAAGAAATAGTCACTTTCCCTGCAGTGGAAAGCCCTTATTTTTGCCCCTGGATTACAGGTACCAGCGGGTGCCTGGACTGGACAGAGTAAGATGTGTACTCTGTGTTTTCGCCACAGTGTTATTGCTCATACCTGTCCTCACCCAGCTCATCATTTGAGTGGCATTTCATGTCATGTGGCACTATGTTCCCTAGCTCAGTGATTCCCTTGCAGCAAATAGAAGGCTTCCTCCTTGCCCTGATGTCTGTGAGACGGACGTTCAGGGAGAGAAAGAAGGAATGCAAATTCAATGAGGAAGTCTGACTCTTCAAGGAATCTTACAGCAGAGGGAGTTTGCTCTAGAGCAACCCCTTTGGTCCCCTTCCCCAGAGAGCAGTTGAGAATGTTCACAAATGTTATATGAGAAAACATCTAGCTTGCAGCTGGACATGCACCCAATATGCAATAAACCGTGAGCTAATCTTTATCTTTCCAAAGTAAGGGGCTTAGTATTCCTGGAAATAGCACTGTTGGCTTCCACTCCAAGGTTGTTGGCTTCTTCTGGCATAGTTATCCAGTTGTGGATGGTTAAAAATAACCGGTTCTGACACCCTTCCCTCACATGCGCTCTGGAGTGCTGGCTGGACACCAGCCTTGGGTGACCAGGCTAAGGGAATCTGCTGGCTGGGCACCCCCATTGTCCTGGGTGGGTAACAACAGAGGACAGTAATCATTTCCCTGCAGGCTATCTTCTAGGAGGAAATTGGGAAAGATCTCTGGAAAGTAAGCATGCTGTGAGCGCACAACCTTGTCTGTAGCCAAATTCTTGCTATCATAATCTTAAAGTAGTGATAGTGATAATATAGGCACAACTCAGAGATATTGTGGGTTCAGTCCCAGACCACCACAATAAAGTGAATGTAGCAATAAAGCAAGTCAGATGAATATTTTGGTTTCCCGTGCATAGAAAAGTTATGTTTAGGGAAGGGCCAAGATGGCGGAACAGCATGGAAGTGGTTTTTGCATCTCTCTCCCTGAAATGCAGCCAGATCAACACTAAACCATCCTGCACACCTAGAAAACTGATCTGAGGATTAACACAACAACGTGCACAACCTGAACCAGAGAAAAGTTGTTTACACTATACTCTGCTTTATTAAATGGGCAATAGCATCGTGTCTAAAAAAATCAATATACATACCTTAATTTAAAAGTACTTTCCTGCTAAAAAATGCTAAGCATCATTTGAGCTTTCAGTGAGTCATAATCTCTTTGCTGGTGGAGGGTTCTGCCTCGATGGTGATGGCTGCTGACTATCAGGGTGGTGGTTGCCGAAGGTTGGGGTGGTTGTGGCGATTCCTTAAGATAAGTGACCAGTGGGGGCACCTGGGTGGCTCAGTTGGTGAAACATCTGACGCTTGGTTTTGGTTCAGGTCACAGTCTCACGGTCCATGGGTTTGAGCCCCATATCAGGCTCAATGTGGGGCCTGCTCAGAATTCTTTCTCGCTCACTCCCTCCCTCTCTGCCCCTCCCCTGCTTGAGCTCTTTCTCTTTCTCTCTCAAAGTAAATAAATAAATATAAAAAAAGACCCCAGTGAAGTTTACTGCAGTGACTGACTCTTCCCCTCTGTAGCAGGTGGTGCTGTTTGATGGCATCTGACCCACAGTAGAACTTTCAAAATTGAGTTCAGTGCTCTCAAACCTGCTGCTGCTTCACGACTGAGTTTATGTCATATTCTAAATCCTCTGTTGTCATTTCAACAATTTTTACGGCATCTTCACCAGGAATAGATTCCGTCTCAGGAACCCATGAGAAGCATCTCGTCATCCGTTCAAGTTTTATCCTGACATTGCAGCCATTTAATCCCATCTAAAGGCCCCGCTTCTGATTCTGATCCTCTGGCTATTTCCACCTCATCCGCAGCGACTTCCTCCACTGAGGCCGTGAGCCCCTCACATTCATCCATGAGGGCTGGAACCTACTTCTCCCAACTCCTGTCCTCCTATGAATGTGGATATTCTGACTTCTTCCCATGAATCTTGAGTGTTAATAGCATCTGGAATGGAGAATCCTTCTCAGAAGGTTTTCAATTTACTTTCCCCAGATCCATCAGAGAAATCACTGTCTATGGCAACAACAGCCTTATGGAATGTATTTTCTTCTCCTCCTCCTCCTGCTTCGTTGTCATCGTCGTCGTCTTCTTTCTTCTTCTTTTCATTTTTTAATGTATATTTATTTTGAGACAGAGAAAGCGCGAGTGGTGGAGGGGCAGAGAGAGAGAGGGAGACACAGAATCTGAAGCAGGCTCCAGGCTCTGAGCTGTCAGCACAGAGCCTGCTGTGGGGCCCACAGACTGTGAGATCATGACCTGAGATGAATGCTTAAGTTGGATGCTTAACCAACTGAGCCACCCAGGTGTCCCTGGAATGTATGTCTTAAATAATAAGACTTGAAAGTTGAAATGATTCCTTGATCCATAGGCTGCAGCATGGGTGTTGTGCTAGGCTGAAAACTATTAATTTCATTACCCATTTCCATCGGAGCTCTTGGGTGACCAGGTGCATTGTCAGTGAGTGCATATTTTGAAAGGGGTCTTCTTGAGCACTAGGTCTCAGCAGTGGGCTTAAAATATTCAGCAAACTATGGGGCACCTGGGTGGCTTGGTCAGTTGAGTGACCGACTCTTGGTTTCCGCCCAGGTCGTGATCTTGAAGTTCATGAGTCGAGCCTCATGTTGGGCTCTATGCTGACAGTGTGGAGCCTGCTTGGGATTTTCTCTCTCTCCTTCTTTCTCTGCCCCTCCCCTGCTTGTGCTCTCTCGTGCTCTCTCTCTCTCTCAAAATAAATAAACATAAAAAAAAAAAAGCCCTCAGTAAACCATGTTGTAAACCAACGTGCTATCATCCAGCCTCTGTTGTTTCATTCACAGAGCGCAGGCAGAACAGACTTAGCTTAGTTCTGAAGGATGCTAGGATTTTTGGAAGGTCAGTGAGCACTGGTTTCAACTTCAAGTCACCAGCTGCATTAGCCCGTAATGTGAGAGTCAGCCTCTCCTTTGAAGCTTTGAAGTCAGGCATTGACTTCTCTCCACCTATGGAAGTCCTAGATGGCGTCTTCTCTCACTCTCAGGCTGTTTCCTCTGCATTGATCATCCAGATAACTTGCTACTTCACCCGCGCTTTTATGTTAGAGAGACAACTTCTTTCCTCAAATCTCCTGAGCCAACCTCTGCCAGCCTCAGGCATTTCTTCTACAGCTTCCCCACCGCTCTCGGCCTTCACAGAACTGAAGAGAGGCCGGGCCTTGCTCAGCATGAGGCTCTGGCTTCAGGGAATGTTGTGGCTGGTTTGACCTTCTGTCCAGACCACTCACACTTTCTCCAGAAAGAAACACCTCTGGAGTAGCACTTTCAGTTTCCTTTTAGCATTCCGCTGCCTTTGCATTCACAACTTAGCTGACTGTTGGGCACCAGGAGCCTGGCCTTTGGCCTGTCTTGACTTTTGACATGCTTTTTTGCCACTAAGCTTGCTCATTCCTAGGTTTTGATTTAAAGAGAGAAGTGATTCTTCCTTTCACATGAACATTTAGAGGCCAGCGCAGAGTTATTAATTAGCCTAATTTCAGCATTGTTCTGTCTTAGGCAATAGGGAGGTCCGAGGAGGGGGAGAGAGATAGGGGAATGGCCAGCCGACGGAAGCACTCAGGATACATGTACAACATCAGTTGATGAAGTTAACTGTCTTCCGTGCATGTGGGTTGTCAAACCCCAAAACAATTACAGTAGGAACACCCAAGTCTATTGATCGCAGATCACCATAACAAATGCAAGAAAGTTTGAAATATGGCGAGAATTATTAAAATGTGACACAGAGGCACAAAGTGAGCAACTACTGTTGGAAAAAAATGGCATCAATAGACTGACTCACTTGAGGCAGCATTGCCACAAACCTTCAGTTTGTAAAAAAAACAAAAAAAAACAAAAAAAACCCCCAAAACACACAATTATGTATAATGGCAATACAGCAAAGCGCACCACAGTGAGATGTGGCTGTAGTTGATGTTGACTGGGCCTCACTTAACATCGCTACAACTCACAGCGTTGACATCAGGTTCATTTTCCAGCTGAGGAACAAAGTTCCAAGGTAGGAAGGCCCTTGCTCAAGGTGGTGCGGGGCAGAGCCAGGGTTTGAACTCAGAATTGTGTGACCCTAAGTCCTGTATATTTCCCACCCCCCGAGGTGTTGTTTAGAAGCCCAATGGTTCAGTTAGCCTCAGACCTCCCCAAATGTCTTGCCCCCCTCCGCCCCCCTCCACCCCAGATGGGCCCCTTCAGCCTTCCACACTGCGGTTCTGCTCTCTGTACGGCCTTGGCGAGGGGGACAGAGAGACAATGCAGGGCCGGCTACTTACTGATGCACTTGAGATTGGGAATTGTCCAGTGGGCAGTGTTTGTGGTTGCGTTAAGCACACACTCCGTCAGGCTGGACGTCCCGGCTTTCCGCTTGAAGCCAGCATTACAAGTGTACCGCTCCGTGGAGTTCAGGTCGTAACTCTTGACCCGGATGTCTGCATGTTTGACAGACGTCGGGGGAGGGCACGTCACACCTGCAGAGGTGCAGATGAGAGAGGAGAGGCGAACACACTTCAGCTGGCTCAGAGGGGCTCCCGGGGTCACTCGGGTGGCACTCAGCACCTTCGGAGCCAGGGGCTGGCTCTCTTGGGGACCCCTTAGGATACACCCCACATTCCAAGCATGTGGAAAACATTCAGTAAGAGCTCTCATCATTTAGAGGGCTCCCAGGAACCTTGCCTTAGGCGCTCGCCGTCCAGCACGGCCAGGGACTGGGGAGCCATCCATGGAAACCCTTCTCCCTGCCTTCCCCTTCCCATCAGCCTTCCTGGCCTGCACTGCCCCAGCCTCTGAGCTCTCTTGCCAGAAAACAGCAAGAGCCCTGCGATACTCTCTCTGCTTGTTCTCCCTGAAGGCCTGTCAGCCATTTCTGTAACACAGCCAGTCATCTTCAGAAGCGCATTTGATGGCTTCACTCTTTCCTGGTTGCCCGCTGCTCTTAGAATAAAAACGAACATCCTCAAGAAGTCTTCAAGCCTCTGCTGGACCTGGCCCCCACCTCCTCCCCAGCTATTCTTGCCCCCTGGCCGTACTGGCCTTCGGTCTCCTCATGCCACTGACCACCCCCACCGCTCTCCCCAGCCCATCTCCTGCCGTCCTTCCTCACTTGAACATGACTTTCTCAGGAAGGCCTTCCCTCCCTGCCGCTCCCGCCTCAAAGCAGCCAGGCCCCATAGTTCCGTGTTCTTTCCCTGCACAGTCAGCCGCCTTCATGGTTGTGTGGAAGACGTTGAGATGTTATAATGACTGTATGTCTCATGATGTGCACTGTGAGCTGTAGAGGGTGGGGGCCACATCTGTTTTGCCCGATTCCGCCTTCCCTGAGCCCAGTACAATAGCTGGCGAGAGAAGGTGTTCAAGAAACAGCTGTTCAGAGAATGACCTTTTTAATGCACATGCCCTTTACTCAAGCAATTTCGCTTCTAAGAATTTTCCTATCAGATATACTGGCATGTTTATGATGTGAACATGTACAGAACTATTGATTATAATAGCCAGTATCTGTGCGAATTACCTCGTATGGGGTCAGCAGGAGACTAATTGAGTAACTTACTAAAGCTACTCCTTGAAGCTACTCAGAGCTACTCCCTGAAGAAGTGCTAGTCAGCTCTCTGTAATAGACGAAAGGGTGCTCTTTTCTGCTGAAGTGGAAAGATGTCCCAGATACACTGTTAGGTTAGGAACAAGAGGAGCAGAACCCTGCATGTCATATGCTGCCATCAGTGAAAAAAGAAGAAATGGTACCTATCCACAATTTTTGTCTGTACATAAAATCTCTGAACGGATGCAAGACACTATTAACATTGGAGGAGAGACAGCTGGAAGAGATAGAGACTTTTTACTGAATGCCTTCCTTCCTCCTTCCTTCCTTTTTCCTTTTTTCATTTTCATAATTTCTGAATTTTTAGTAGTACAAATGTTTTACCTGTTAAAAATGCTTCTGAAAGTTTTTGTAATGCTCTGTTTCTTCAGTTGTTTTGTAAATTGATGTTTTTCCTTTTCATAGATTACATTGATGCCGGGGTAAAAACTGAAATAGTTAATAACCAGTGCCACTCGGATGCTGACCAGTCAGGATAGCTGCTGGCAATCATGGGGGCCAGGCGGCTGACCCCTGGCCACAGAGGGATGGCCACTCTGATGAGGGCTGGCAGAATATTAGTTGTGCCTAAATGTTATATAGTTTAAAATACATGAAATTGTTCATAATAAAAAAGTCAGGGTGAGGGATTTGGGGGTACCCTGCCATGGAACTCAGACCTCAGTTGAGCCTAGGGCAAGAGAGGGGTAAATCATGCCAATGTGAGTGTTCGGTGCTTCTGTTGTAAGATGTTGCCTGCTAAATAAATGTGAGAAAAGCAGAAGATTCTAGAAGTAGGAATTTTTGGCTTCCTCTGAGCAAGTTAAGGCAGCTTGGGGTAAAATTGAAGCCAAGAAGTCTTGAAAGGCCATCTGGGAGGATTCTGGACCCCCTTTTGGGAGACAGCCCCCCAGTCACTCCCAGCAGACTGTGGATGTGACAGAGTGCCTGCCCAGTGCAAACTAACATGCCTTTCATCAGAAGAATGATACCAAAAGAAGGTAAGAGCCAGAGCTAGACTGACTCAAGTTTTCTCTAATCTGAGCTACTGTGTTAAAAATGCCCCCTTCCTTTTTAATTAGAAGTTGAAAGATTTGAGCAAGGTTTAGACCCTAAGATTTTCTCAGGTATGAAATTTGCTGGCTAAAACCAATGTCCTGGGACTGGCCGGATCATGTACGTTGATTCCATTTTTGGGCACCTCTACGGAGAGGTGCTCAGTAGATATGCAGGGTAAGCCCCAGACCTAGTCTAATGGCTTGTGGGCATGATACCTACCAAAGTTCTTGATCCTCATATCTGGATATATGCCAGGAACAGACAGTTCTAGTCTGCAAGTCTGATGATTTAACTACTTGAAAATACTGTAAATGGTCCAAATCCTAAATAAATGAGGTGAGTTCAGTCACCTGTCCATAGTAGACTTTGGTGCCAGGTCTGAGAGGGACAGAGTCTGGAAAATACAACCATCTTGTGCAGCTCTCCATGTCATAGTAAGGATTCTGGATTCTGGAACATGAGTCCCCCTCCATCCCAGAAAGTGTATTGTGTCTCTGATCTTAACCTGGTGTTCTAACTGCTGCTGGCTTCCTTCTGCATCCTTCAAATCAGCCAGTCTCATTTGATTTGCCCACATAGCATGTGTGTCTGTTTTCCAGCAATCTGAGCCTTCTTTTGGTTGGGCAGGATCTGGGGTCAGCTTTGACTAGCCACAGGCCCCCAAATGGGAGCTTTCTCCTTCCTTTTCACCTGTTTCCTGTGGCCTGGCCTGTCTTTTCCCAGGAACCCTAGCTTTCGGGACCAGATCCCTAATCCCTCTGTCCAGGTCTTGCCTGTATTTTCCTCCAGAGAGCCATCCCTGGATCGCCACAGTCCCCAGCTGCTGGCTTAGGTTTGGACATCCAAGAACAACTGCCAGAATCACCTGGCCTTGAACTCACCGCCCGGGCCCCTTTTGCCATGTACCCCTGCAGCTGGGCTTCCTTAGACATTAGAATCGGAGAGATGCACCTCTCAATTTAGAATGTGGTCAGAACAATCTACTGTAAATGCCTGGCAGCCTGCAGATAGAACAGCCCACCGGTGGATGAGCTGTTGGGTTCTCCCCTCCTCCTTCAGGAAGTAGGTTCTCCCGGCCGAGGCTCCAGCATGCCTCACACCTGAGCCCACCTGAGCTGTGACAGCCCCATGTATCAGTAAAGCACAGGCCTTAGTCTGGTCTTCTTAGTCTCAGGAGAGGAAATGGATTGTTTGATTTTCATTCTCAATCTAGCCACCAACTTTTCTTTTAAAATCCCACTGAGAATCTAAGATTTTGTACAATAGAATATACCTCTGTACTGTTCTTTATCCCACCATGCTGGTAGTCTCAATGCTCACCCTTCATTTATGTGGCTTCTAGAGTGGACTCAAACATTTTCTTTTCCTTTTCAGTGAGGATATAAGATAATCTTGATTTAAACTTAACAGTTTTCTAAGATATTATTTTCTTACTCATTTCTATAAACAAAGTAATAGGAGAGAAGAAATGTATCCGTTTAGATTTACTTCTTTTACCATCCCCTGTCTTTCTCTCTCTCTCTCCCATCTGGTCTTTGGATTGTATCTTGTTCACCTGAGTCCTTCCAAAATATTTTTATTCACCAGGTAGTCCTCAAGTTCCATTTTTAATTTCAAGTAATATTCCAAATCTATTGATCTTCCCTCTCTCATCTCTTTTCAGTCTCTGCTGTTTTCTGTGTTGTTTCCAGATCTTTTTTCCCACCAGATTACTCTATATCCTCTCCGTCTTAAAATATTCTCCTCCATGTAGGTGGTTTTCAACTTTTAGCATTTGTGGCACACTTTGAAATGAAACATGTGACCTGTCACTCAGGGGGATTTAAAAGGTGAAGGCATTGGTGACGATATCAGTAAGAGTTACAAAGAATCAGTGCTACAGTAGAAAGGCATCAGTGCTGACGTGTGGCTCATTTGGTGGCCCCTTGGAGCTGGCTGCTATGTGTGTGGGCAGTTTATTGAATATATGGGAACTCAAAGTTCTTACAGATTTCAATAAATATACAGTCTTCTCTGTGGTAGCTTGACTTCTTCCCCTTATCTTAGATTCATGCCACATAGTACCTCTCTCAGCTCAATACACCCCTTCTGCCAAATACTGGTGTTATTACAGGTGTATTCAGTTTAGCAGCAATGACTCAGACACAGCAACTAGGACAGGGATCACAGGAAGCATGCTATGCACACAGTTGAGAACCACTTCTTTGAAAGGAAAAGCAAACAAGGACAGATGCTGTGTAAACAGTGACAGATTTAGAGCCTCTACAGATTTTCCTTGGAAGCTCATTGCTGCTATTAAATCATAGGGCAAAGGTCTAGAGACACTGTCAATGCTCCTTTTCTTCTTGATAATCTATGGGAACCAGTTATCATCAATGAGGAAGACAAACATAGCCCAGGTTTCCCATTGTTGGAGGAAGAAGTTGTAACTATGGAAAAGGGGAAGAGGATGACTAGAAAATACCCTATGATGTTAAAGAGAATTGGGATCAGAGATATCAATATATAACCATTGTATGTGTGTTCATGCATGTGTGTGTATGTGTGTCTGTACATGGGAATGTATATGTGCAGGTGTGTGTGTGTGTGTGTGTGTGTTCCAGCTCTGTCTTCTTACAATGCCTAGAAGCAATGACATATTAGCACTGAATGTACTTGGTGCCCAGATCTTGGTTTCCATCAGAAAAAACCACGGCTACTTGGGGAAAAGGCTGATCCCAGGGCTAGGATGGAGAAGGCATTCCAGATGAACCTGGAATATCTTGTATCAGAAAGTAATGAAATACTCAACAAATGATGGCAACATGTCACAAGGATATAGGGTGAAGGCTGAAC